GGGTGGCAGCTGCTAGTGAGGCCTGCTGGAGTCCCCTGGACCAATGTTCTGGTGCCTAGAACAGTAGTCCCATGAGGGCGAATTGGGAAATTGGGTCTTCACCTCTTGGAGAGTCAGGAAGCCTATTAGAATACTAAAAGGTCTATGGAGTCCTTTAGGAAAAAAGCCTTGCTTAATCCACCACTTCTAACCTCTCTTGACTACTGACACACCCTCTTTTGAGAGCCATGGTGTTGATTTTGTAATTACTTTGTATTTCACAGGTGCATCTAATGATAAACAAATATCCTAATATTGGGTAATTTTCCAGGGCTGGGTTTATTATTACGTAGGAGAGAATCATTAACAGTTGTAAGATTTCATATTGATTGTCACTACAAAGCACTGCACTTATTGGAATACACCATGTTACTGAAGGGAATCCATGAAGTTGACTTCATTTGGAATAATTTTACAGTAAGAGGGCATTACATAATGAAACATGAAACAGGAACAGTAATTTCTAGTAGCTGTGCAAGGTTAGGTGGCAAGCACTGATGTCAGGGAGGTTCCTGGGACGTCAGACTTGACTTCGTGATTCTCGTATGTTTTGAATACACCATCATTTGATAGAAAACCCTCTCTAGTCAAGGTCACCTTCTGTATTGCCAAATCCAGTGGCTGGTGTTCAGCCCACGTGGGGCCTTGTGGCAGCACTGGTTACTTCCTCCTCGAGATACTCTTCACATGCCTTCCAGGAAACCACATTCTCTCCTGAACTTCCTCCTGCTTCTGTGGCTTCTCTCATTTGCTGTGCTGGATCCTGTTTTTTTTTTTCCAAACCTCTCTGTGTTTGAAAAAATCCCAGGGCTCAACATTCGATCTCTACAGTGCTCCCTGGAAGATCTCATTCTGTCCCATGGCTTTAAACAATCCTTACGTGTATATATATAGGTGACCGTGAAATTTATACCTTCAGGCTTGACTTTTAAGCTCTAGATTTCATATCTATCAGCATTCTTGACATCCAAGATAGCATTGTAAAATGAACTGTCCTGAGACAACTCTTGAGCACCCCTATTGTCTTCCAATGTTAAATGGCATCATCACATGCCCATTACACAAGTCAAATGCCTTGGGGTTATCCTTGATTCCCACCTTTCTCTCATGCCCCCCACCTGATTTATCAGCATATTGTGAGTTTGACTTTCCAAATACACTTTAACCCAGTCACTTTCACCACTTCTGATGCTACCAACATTGTCCAAGCCATCACCGTCTCTTATGTAGTTGACTGCAGCTGTACCGTTTCTGGTGTCCCCAGTTTCATTCTTGTTCCACAGTCTCTTCTTCACACAGCAACCAGAGTATCACTTCTAAACACGTAAATCAGATCATGAACCTTGCCTGCCCAGAACTAGCCCAATAACAGTCACGTGACTGAAAAAAACAAACCCACATTCCTACCATGGCTTATATGATCCAGCCCCCAACTAGCACCCTAACTTACTTCCTGCCACTCTTCCGCCTTCCTCACCGCACTCAGCCACACTGGCCTGCTTGCTGGCCCTCAGATTCTTCGAGCATACTCAGTCTGAGGGTCCAAGGCCTTTGCACGCGTTGTGTGCCCTGCCTGACAGGACCTTCCCCGGGTGCATGGGTGCTTGATCGTGTCTCTCTTTGGTTTCTTCATAAATGGCACTTCTTTAAAAAGGCCATCTGGAGCCTCTCTTGACATGCCCTCTTCCCATCCCCCTTCCCTGCTTTATTTTTCTCTGTAGCACACGATTATCGCTCACCCTGTGGCATGTTATTTCTCTGTGTACGGTCTTCAAGGCAGGGACTTCTCTTTCTTTGCTGTATCTGCACCTGGATCAGTGCCTTAAACCTAGTAGGTGCCAGCAAATCTTTTTAAAATGAATGAATGAATGAATTATCTAAAAGACTTTAGTCACTGTGTCTTCCTTTTGCGAATCTGGTGTACTGATGGGTTCGATTCCAAGTAGCAGAAGGAAATGTAGGAACAGGATGATTCCACAGCACTCTGAAATGTCAAAACCCATCAACGAAGATCAGGAAAAAAGCCCTACTTTCTCTGTACCTGATACTGAAGTGTGGTATAAAAGCCTTCGGCCTCTCCTTACTCTGAGTCTGTGTAAGAGGGAAGAGTGGTTTTCAGTACTTCTTCTGAGAATTTTACTTCTAAACTATCAGGCATGTGTATGGCTGAGAGAGACCCATGTCAAGAGAGAGACCCACCTTCAGGGAACATTGGATCGTTTGTTTCTGTGTGCATGCTCAGTCGTGTCCAACTCTTTGTGACCCTATCGACTGGAGCCTGCTAGGCTCCTCTGTCCATTGGATTTTCTAGGCAAGAACACTGGAGTGGGTTGCCATTTCCTCCTCCAGGGGATCTTCCAAACCCAGGGACTGAACTTACGTCTCCTGCGGCTCCTGCATTGGCAGGCAGATTCTTTACCACTAAGCCACTTGAGAAGCCCCCATTTGCCTTTGAGCGTATATAAAAGGATCAATTGTCCATGATGGCTTATTAAATTTAAAATATTTTATTTTAGGAAAGATACTCTTTTAGATTGGTTTCAATCTTGTTTTTTATATTCACAAATTTAATCATGATCACTTTAGATATAACCGTTGATTCTTCTTCTAAATCTGTATGAAAAGGATGTTTTCTTGGAAAAACACAAGGAAAATATAGCTGCTTTCTTCTTCCCCAGGTCAGTCACTCAGTATGGTTAGATTGCACATACATAAATTTGGCTATCATAACATAAGTATTTATGGACATAGTTAAAACTATACCCCTGGGCCACCAGCTTTCAAAAGATTTTGAATCTGTTTGATTTACAGTAAATATATACCAAACATATGAACGGTTTCTAAGCTGCTAATGAGGGGGTTTTCAGAATAAAAATTGCTCACAGTTATTAAGCAAACTTCTGTGTCAGGCATATAATAATTGCTTTACACAAATTTACTTAAGTCTTTCAGAATTCCTTTGAGGTAGGGTAATGTTCTTTTAGAAATATCACTTTATAGATACAAAAAGCAAGGCTGGAAGGGCCTCAGTGATCTGTGCAGGGCCACGGATCCACAAAGTGAGGTCAGGGCTGAACCAGGTTTCTCTCTAGCCAGGTCCTCATGACCATGTTAATGGCAGATGGAGCTGGCTTACATGACCATGCCATGGCTCCAAGATAAGCCTTTTAGTGTGGGGCAGTAAATGCTCCACCTGGACAGGTTACTGAGAGCCGTGACCCACTTATTCTGTACATTTATACACATACATTTGTATTTACACAGAGGAAGTGCAGGTAAACTAACACAGCCACTGTGATGGCCGTTTCACTGCTTCCAGAAGGCTGCGCACTCCTATCTCCTCCAGGTTGCTGAGTCTGCATTCTCTCTATGACTGCAGGACTTGATCTGGACAGGAGTTGGTACTCCTTGACTGAACTGCTTTCAGTATACTGCCCAGCTCAAATTGTTCAGTCGTCCAGGTTTTGTTAAAGAACTCTGATGTGGTATAAATAGTTTTTTCCCCATGGAAGATGTACAGTTTAAATTAGGTATTTTTTAAGAAATTCTTAGTGCTATTTCTATACCTTTTCTAAGCTATTCAGTGTCAGTAAGAAAAGCAGAAGCTCCATCCCTTCTCTCAGACAGCTTCTGGACCAATCAGCATTGGTGATTAGCAGTGGTATGCTGGTAAATGTTTATCAGATGATTCTCCAAGGAGACAATAAAGTCATGATTTTGTAGCTTTTGCCAATTTCTCACCATAAATAATCTCACCATGGCTGATCTCAAGCAACTAACCTGTTATCACTGAAAGTGAAATTGGAAAGATATATATCAAAGCATACCTTTATATAGTATTTCTACCCTGCAGGTACAATAAATAAGCCTCAAGAGCATAAGTATAAAAAAAATTAGGAAATGATGTCTTTTGAGTGAAAGTGTTAATTGCTCAGTCATGTCTGACTCTTTGCAACCCCATGGATTGTAGCCTGCCAGGCTCTTCTGTCCATGGAATTCTCCAGGCAAGAATGCTGGAGTGGGTTGCCATTCTATTCTCCAGGGATCTTTCTGACCCAGGGATTGAACTCGAGCCTCCTGCATTGCAGGCAGATCCTTTACCATCTGAGTGCATGCGTGCAAAGTCACTGCAGTTGTGTTCAACTCTGTGCGACCCTATGGACTGTAGCCTGCCAGGCTCCTCTGTCCATGAGATTCTCCAGGCAAGAATACTGGAGTGGCTTGTCATTTCCTTCTCTATTACCATTTGAGTAGTTATAAATTGCATTAAAAGCAAAAGCAATAAATTTCTCTAATTTTAAAAAATAGCTGTGTTTAACAACTAGCTCTCAAAATGAAAACTTAATTGGCTTTTATAAGCTGGTATGAGTTAGCCCAGCATACCGCTGAATTAGTGTCCCAAAGGTAGCAAGATTCAACTCTCCTTTCGATGTTTTAGACTATAGATGAACTACTGATAGCAGGGGTTGGAGGGATTTTGGATGATTAATAAGTAAAAGCACAGTCCTTTGAGCATGCCAAGGAGTAACCTGGGGTTTGTTTTGATTAATTTAAAATCTGTCTATATATAGCAATGATCATTGCTCTTTATAATTTCAACTTGTTTTTTCAAACTTCAACCAAGAGTGATCTTCAAACTCAGGGTGTGGTTCATGCAGAAGGTGGCCAATGGATGAAGCATCTAGATGTCTTCCTTTCCAGCTGGGTATCTTGACTCACTCTCACCAAAAGTCTGAGCCAGGGAAGAGGAGAGCAACTTGAACAGCCAGGTAAACATCTAATGATTTGCCCAGGGAGGTCCAGGTGCAGAACTCAATTTAATTTCTTTTACCCAACCCAGTATCCGTGACGATGAGAACCAAAGCATTGAGAGGTGCCTCCCTCCGCTGCCACCCTGGCTTCTTCAGCCCTTCGACCTGAGCTGCTGCTCAAGACATCTTCGCCTGCCGCCCCTCCTAGCTCTACCTCTGGTAGCTCTCCAGGCTCTCCATTCCAAGTGCTCTGTCTCCAGTAGGACCTACCAGAGAGAAGACAGGTAGCACATTGCAGCAACTCTGATTAACTAGCCCTTATGTACTCTAAGACCTTACCCAGGCATTTTGTTTCCCTGCTATTCACTGGCTCACATCAGGGAGCTGAGTGGAAAGTCAGACCTTCTAATTCTGGCAAACTAGTTGGTGGAGGCAGTTTGTTGAGACTAGTGTCTAGTGCTTGGGAAATATGTACTTCTTTTTGTCTTCTGTGAACAGGGAACTCATTAAGTGTTACTCCTTGGATATTCAGCAAATCTTCCTTGAACGGTGGCTTAACTGAAGGCGCCGTGCCTAAGGTTGGATGGACCACACGAGTCCCCACCACCTCCGGCTCGACGCTGAGTGGGTGCTGACTGGGGGCCCTCACACTGATGTTTAAAGGGATCGTGTGTCCACCTACTGAGGGACCAGGCTGAGGCTGTCTGGCCCTTCAGTCTTTGTGACGGGTATTTTGCTTTCAATGATGAGGAGGAGGGTTTGACCGGGCACCTTCTCTTAAGAGCTGGCTATGTGCACAGCTGGTTCAGTTGCTGGGATTTGGAGAGCTCTGGGTGGAAAGGCAAGTGAGGTTTCAGGGTTGTGAAAATAGCTTTGGGACTTCCCCTGCCCGGGGGCTCCAGGAGCAAGACTATTCTTAGGGGGTGCCTCTGTCCTGAACAAGCTTTTCTGTGCCACTTGGCCTGAGGACTTCTTTTTGAGAAAGAGACTTGGACTGGAGTCAAACCCCAAACTGCAAAGAGATGACCAATTAGGCTGCTGGGCCAAGTTCCAGCCAAGGAGGCAGGCTCTGCCTCTCAGCACTCAGCACAGTCTGGAAAGCGATTCTTGGCCCACGGTCCCCTGGTCTGGTGGGATGCAGGAAGCCAGTTCACAGACTGTGCCCCGCTCCTGATGGAGAAACCATGAGTCAGCCTCTCCCGCTCCCTCCAGCCCTGAGAGCCCAGAGCGGACAATCGCAGGGCAAAGCAGGAAGAGGGGGAAAGGAAGCTGTAGAAAAATAAACATTTCCTTGCATTTTACTTGGAACAGAACATCATTTGTGGCGTGCTAAGATCCATGGCATCTCCCACATGCCCCCCCTGCTCTCTTTTCCTCCTCTTGTGTAGAAATAGATTCTTTCCTTACCTGATGAGAGTCCAGGGTGCATCCTGTGGAAAAACAGGAGCAAGATGTAGAAGGTAAAGGCCAAGCCACCAAAGATCACGCCACAGACCAGGAAGCTGTAGCTGCCCTGAGCCTGGAATACCTGCCAAAGGGGAAAACACAGAGATGCCGGCCATCAAAACCTCGCATGAGGATGTATTGCAGGAAGTGGCCTTCTCGGGCCGTGGCAGGGTTTTCAGTCAAGCTCAGGCCCACCACACCTACAGACAGAAACACAGGTAGGAGGGACATCTTGGCCTTGTTTCAAGGTTATATTTCTGGAGGTAGCAGAAAACCTGCTGTGTGGCAGCAGTTGGACCTGCTGACCCCTGCAGTCCCTTTCAGCCCTCTCTGTCCTGGACCCTTTGAAAATCTCCATCTCTTCCTTAAAACTCCAATCATATTAGGTGCTTCTGTATCTGCAGATCCTGAGCAGAACTCTGCAGAGAAGATGTGTCTATATATATGTGTGTGTATATATATATATATGTATATATATATAATTTTATTTTGGAAAATGTAAAACATATGCCAGAGTGTTTTATGGAGTTCCTATGGACCCATCACTGACTTTAGCAATGAGCACGTTTCCTCTCTACCCCTCATGTCTTCCTGCACTAGATTCCACTGCGGTGAACCCCAGGCATTACATCATTTCAGTGCAGAGGATGTCATAAGGGGGAGCTCTTCCTCTGGTCTAGCAGGGTGAAAGGAGAGGAGAATCGAGAAGTGGTTAGAGGGATTTCAGAGACTGAAAGACTTAACTCTGGATGTCATTTCTGTTAGTTATTAGAAGTGTGACTGAAGCCAAGTTGCTTAATTTCTGAGTTTCAGTATCCTCTCTAAAAAGAAGCATCACAATATCTACATTATAGTCTACCATAAAAAGCAGATGGATTTTTTTCCCCCTGCTGAAAAACTGAAACGTGGGTATGTTTGAAGAGAACTGGGCAACTTGGCCCTTGATCAGGCAGGAGTCGGGCAGGAAAGCTGGGCCCTTTGTAGGGTGGCCAGAGGTGAAGAGAGGTGGGAATGGGGGGTTAGGGGGATGGAAAGGAACTCCATTCTTGAGCCTGCAGCCCAAGCCTGTCCTGGGCTCTGAGAGTTAAACATTCCCACGGGGCCCCTGGCCCTGCTCCCAGACACGGCTTGTGTTTGCTTTGGACCATGCCTCATGGCCCTTCACATCTCCAGTCCTGCATTTGGAGGCTCAGCTTCCAGGGGTGGCTCAGAAGCGGAAACAGGTCACACAGACGGAGTGGGGCCCCGCTTGTCGTGCAGGAGGCCTGGGGAAGGGACAGCCGGGTTCAGGAGGGGCTGGCCGCATCTTCTCACTGCCTGGAGGGGCGCGCCCCTCATCCCCCCACCCCGGGTCTCCCTACATACCGAACCAACCAGCATCTGGAGGACCATCTCTCCAACACCCGCCCCTGTCACCAGCACTGTGGTCGCACAGCCTGAACAAGAGAGAAGGATCGGACTTAGTGATGGCAAGTTATGGAGACACATGTCCACTGGCATAATCCAGGTGGACTCCTGAGGTTTCTTAGACTTGAGCCCTTAACCTTTCTTGGGTCTGTCATTATATTATTTCCCTGTTCTGAAGCCTTCAGTTGCTCACGATTATCTTCAGCGTTTATTCCAAGTTGCTTAGCCTGGCATTCAGGGCCCTTCCCAATGTGAATACCAACTACTTTTCCAGGAAGATTCCTGCTCTCCTCTGCAGGAAGGCCTTGCTCCCCTATACTCTGACTAACCAGCCACACTTCCAATTAATCTGGCCACGTGGCACAGGCCTTCAGAGCCCAAGCTTCAGAGTCAGACCTGGGTTTAAAGCCTGCTCCATCACCTACTAGCTACGGGACCTTAGGCAATTCCTTCCCTGTCTCTTCGGCAAAATGGGCATGATACCTCCTTGGGGCTGCTGTGTGGATAACCCTGACACAAACACAGGTGAGAGCCCAGCATAGCGCTGCCCACAGTAAAGCCTTGAAACCAGGCCGGTTCTCTGCTTAAACCCCTCACGCTGCTGTCAGGGTCAGGGCCAGATGCTTAAATGTGGCTTGCAGGGCTCTCTATCACCTGCCCCCGCTGAGAGCTCAGACTGTCGCACTGTCTGCTCACAATCCACCCTCCAGCCAGGAGAGACTCTTCCGTCTGCTGACCTGACACATGCTCACCACCAGCTTCTGACACTTACGTTCACCCCCTCCTGAACACTCCTCCTCCTCTTGGTCTGGAAAATTCATTCGTCATTGGAGATAGCCTTCATTATCATCTCCCCCAGCCCTGAACCTGGATTAGCTGCTCCTCTGTGCTCCCTCCGTCCCCTGCTCCCTGCTCTCGTGTAGCGCCCCCTCTGCCCGCCCTGTCTGCCAGGCACCTCCCCTACAGACTGGAGGCCCATGAGAGAGGCTACGCCTTGAATTTTAGTTCAGCAGCCTGTATCACTGCCTGTCGCCACACCAGTGTATGCTAGACACTCAGAGATCAGCGTCGTCTCTGGCATTCTCGGCCCTCCTTTGTCTCACGAGAGTGCACACCTGTCTCAGCTGTTGCTCTCACACTGCTCACTGCCCTGCCTCTCCCCAGCACGCCCTTCCTCTTGGGACCTTAACCACCCTGGGCCCGGCAATCTCCAGATGGTCCGTAGCACACACGTGACTGTCTACTCTCCCCAGACATTCAAAAACCTCTCAGTACCTTCTTCGCGGGAGGTACCCTCAGGTGCTAAACCCTGAGGGTACTCAGATGACTCATCTGAGTTAACATCGATACTGAGCACCTGCGAGCACTTACGCTGTTATGTTAAATCAGGAGCTTTGCATGCCTTCTACCGCACAGAACAACCCTAAAAGGAAGGTATGGACATTCCAATTTTGCACAGAGGAAAACAGGCTCAGAAGGCGGGAGGAAGATGAACTGCACCAGGTGACAAAGCCAGAAGGTGTGGAGGCAAGGCTGGCCTTCAGGTCTGCTGCTGACCTCAAAGCCACGTTCTTGCCTCTGTCCCTTGCTGGCTCACTTAGGGCGCATGTCGAGGAGAGGCACAGAACTTGAGGACGGAGGTCTGGAGGTGGGACAAACAGGAGAGGCGGGGACGGCGGGGGGGCGGGGGGGGGCGCTCGCCTTCCCAGTGGGGTCAGAGAGGTTCCCGAGGGTGTGACGGGGCGGGGCACAAGCTGAGAGCACGTTCCCTGTGCCAAAGGGTGGAGAGAGGCAGGTGATTGAATGAGGTGGCCTGTGAGGGGAAGCAGGCAGGGCGGCTGCAGAAAGGGAGAGAGCTCGTTCTGGAGGAAGGCGTGAGGGCTGTGAGCATCTGCAGAGGGTGGCAGCCCAGGAAGTGGCCCTCACCCTGGCTACACGTTACCATCACCCGGCAGCTCCAGTACCTCAGGCTGTGATGAAGCCCAGGCTCTGTTACAGGGGCTCCGGGTGATCTGAATGTGGAACCGCATTGAGAATCTCTGACGGAGGCAAATTGGAAGGCCAGGAGACAAGCCAAGAGCTGCCAAGGCACGGATGGGGGAACATTAAATGTTCAAAACATAATTATTTTTAATTAACTTGTTTTTCTGTAAAAGATCTTTGCTATGCACACTCGGGAGGCTACAGAAAGGGAAGGTTAGTTGAGAATCAGAGGTTTTCAAAAAAGCCATGTCACAACCCTGAAGCGGTGTACAGTCATTGTTCCAGTCCTCTATGTTTCCAGCAACATCCACAAGAAAACAAAGCAAGGTGGTACTTTTACTGATAAGTTATACAACCCTTTCCCTGAGCTATAATTTTTCCCATGCATATTTGCTTTTCCTTGAACTTGGAATTTCCAGCACATGAATGTTACACAAAATGCCAGCTGTGGGTTGGCTGGTTCAGTTGCTAAAGAATCTGCCTGCAATGCAGGAGACGTGGGTTCAATCCCTGAGTTGGGAAGATTCCCTGGAGTAGGACATGGCAACCCACTCCAGTATTCTTGTCTGGTAAATCCCATGGACAGAGGAGCCTGGCAGGCTACAGTCAAGGTTGCAGAGAGTCGACTGAGCGACTAAATCACCACCACCACTGCCAACCACTATGGGGAAAAAGAAAATGGGAAAGAGGGGCTCACTGCTTTGTCTGTGGTCTGAAATCCAGTATATGTTGAAAGAAGGGAGCCACGCAGGTCGGAACAACCCTGTTTGTGAGCCTCTTCCCACTTTCAGGCTGTGAGGAGGTGGGCGGGGACCTCTGGCTGGGAGGCCCCGGGGAGAGGCTGGGCGCGGAGGAAGGCGGAGCTCACCTCGGTACTGCAGCGCGTCCTCGGTGTAGGCCAGCATGCTGGGGAAGGTGCTGCTGAGGGACAGGCCCAGGCTGGCCGTCCCCACGAACAGGAAGACCACGTTGTGGGAGAAAACAAGAAGCACCAGGAACGTCACCACCACGCCGACCTGTCACAGCAGAGAAGCGGCCGCTGAGGAACGGGGGGCAGCCGGGCGGCCGCTGAGAAAGGAAGGCCGGTCCGTCTCCAGACGTGAGAAACGCCCCCTGGCCCCGGGCGGGCTGTGTGACTAGGGCACGGCCCTGTGGAGTGCGCAGGAACTGCACCTTCCCCAGCCGGCGGCTGCCAAGGAAGGAGAACGCGGAGGGGGCAGGAGAGACCCGGGGAGAGGAGGGCGAGGAGCCCTGGCATCTCGCGGACGGCCTGCCGTGCAAGCTCAAGGAGCGCTCACCTCCTGCTCCCCTCCGCTTACACCAGGCCTGCAAGAGTTACCTGAGAATCGCTACACTTGGCACGTTTGAGAAACGCCTGACTCAGGACTTCGCTGGCGGTCCAGCGGTTCAGAACCTGCGCTTCCATTGCCGGGGGCGTGTGTTTGATCCCTGGACGAGGAACTAAGATCCCACATGTGGTGAGGTGTGGCAAAGAGAACAACAAACCCGACTCACTCTCTTCTGTTAGCCTGGTTGACAGAAGACGCAGGATGCCAGGGCAAGTTAGCAACTCCACAACCAACTCCGCAGACTGGCGCTCAGCCGCTCCCCAGCTGCCTACCAGCCCCTCACCCTCGCCTTGCCTTCCAGCCAGGACAGAGACTCCCTCTCCCCATCTTCTTCCCTGGCCAACTGGAAGCGCCTCAAAGGCAGAAAGCGCCTCTTAGAGAACGCGGTAGCCGGCACACAGCGTGTGTGCTCATCAACCCGTGAGTGACTGTTGAGATCCAGGAGAACATCAAGAGCAGAATGACCCTTAATTTAAAACGGAGCGGAATCGGAAGAAACCGCGGTGAATTTGAGACTTGGCAGCTGCAGCCTGTTCAGGGTGGTCCAGCTATGGTCCCAGCAGCCTGCCCAAGAAAAGCACCTGGAGAGCTTAAAAACAACTCAGACACCCAGGTTCCACTCCACTCCTCCCCCGACTCCCTGGGGCTGGGGCCCAGGAATCTGTATATTCCAAAAGCACCTTGGCAGGGGTGGGGGAGCTGATGTGTTTGGAAATCACTTGCTGTAGGATAGTGTTTTTCCAAACTTCTTGATGACAGAACACCCCCCCAACCTCCAATACCCACCCCCCAGTGTCTGTTGAGGATATAGATTGCTAGCCCCTACCCCTGGACATTCAGATTCACCAAGTCTGAGTTGGACCCAGAAATCTGATTTTCTTCTTTAAACTCAGCACCCCTGGTGAGTTTATTGCCAGCGCCTGAGTCCCGTGGAGGCCTCCGACTTCCTGCTTTCTCCCAAACCCAGAGTCACACCCTCTGTCTTTAAGCAGCTGGCCTCGTGTGCTGGAGAGCCGGGCCACCAGCAGCCTCTGTAGCCTCATCTCGGGTCACCCCCGCTCCACAGAATGGGCCCTCTTCCTCCTAAGCATAGCGTGCTGCCCTCCAACCCCTCCCCTCTCCCCAGGGCTCCCCATTCATGTCGCCTCTGAGCCGGTGTCCTCACAGGCTCCCTCCCTTTCTCCTCTGCCTGCAGAAGCTCATACCACCCAACTCTTGACAAACAAGCCTGTTCAGCTCGGACGTGTGTGTAATCCTCACACTGCTACATCCTTCTCACCCTCTCCCTTCCCTGCTTGAAGCCCCCGTCAGCTCCATGCCCCCTGCAGTGGAAGCAATGAATCCTGGGAATTCCCACCCTCAACCCCTTGAGTTTGGCTACTACACCACCCCCACCTCCCAGCTACATTGAACAAAAGTTCTTTCTTTTAAGTCATCAGTCAGCACAAGGCCGAATCCAAGGGCCTTTCTTGGGGCTCATGATCTTTGGCTTCTATGGTGGTGCTGGTGGTTTAGTCGCTCAGTGGTGTCCGACTCTTGTGATCCCATGGACTGTAGCCTGCCAGGCTCCTCTGTTCATGGGACTTCTCCAGGCAAGAGCCTCTACATTATTTCCCAACCCTCTCTCCTCTAGAAACTAAAAAAGTACATTCTGACAGTGGATTGGACTTCCTGGAGAGGTGGCAAGTTTCCATTCACTGGGGGTATTTAGACAGACTTTTGGACCCCTTGGAAGTGGTATTATAGAGGTGATTTGAGCCCTGGTCAGAAGTTGGGCTAAACAACCTTACAGGAATCTGTAATCTGCACCTCTTTGTCATAGATGGTGGCAGGGATACACATCAGGACGAAAAGTCTTTAACCACCTCTCAGGCCCAGACATCCTGCCTCCAGAGAGACTAGTTCCTTGAAGGTCATCCTACGTGCCAGTCTGGGAGAGCTGCAAGATGCAAGTTCCCAGGGCCTATTCCCTAGATGGTGCCTCTGAAGGCCGGGGGACCCCTGATCTCTGCTGGCCACAGTGCTCTGACCCTGTGGGCACCAGGGTGAAAATTGAGGATCGAGGTCAGCACTGCTTCCCTCCTCATCCCCCAGGCTGTCAGCAAGGAGCTGCTCCTGACATAGCACCAGTCACTTCCCATAGCCCCTTTCTTCCATGGGTACAAAGTCCAAGCCCCAGAGAAAGGAAAGGGCTTTTCCAAGACCATGCAAGTAGGCTGCATGCCTTGGGTTTCCACCCTGTCCACTCCAGCATCTCTTTCCTACCCTCTCTTCCTTGTACCCTGACACCCTCCCGCCCCCAACCTGGGGCAGAGTCCCAGTCTGAGAAGGTGTCCTGGGGCAGGGCTATGACACAGGGTGAACGGTTCTTCTGGGTCTCCAACAGTAAAAGGGCGCCGCTTACCACATTGATGAAAACCATGGTGGCTGGCTTCACTCTGGAGGAGACAGGAATGGAGATGAGCCGGCCCAGGGTGATGAAGCCCCAGAAGAGGCTGGGGAGGTAACCCGCCACCTTGTGTCCCACGGACAGCGGCTTCTCCACCGCATAGCTGTACACGAAGGCGGAGTACGCGCCCTGTGGGAGACGGGCCCTGTTGAGCACACCTGCAGTGTCCCCAGCCAGGCAGGCATGGTCTGGGCTGGCGGGAACTGGCCCTGCTCCTACAGGCCTGGAGCCGAGTCCACCTGGCAGGTGTAGGCCTGAGCTGAGGCTGGAATCGGCGCCACAGCCTGCAGGTGGTGCCTACAGGAGCCAGGGACTCAGGAAGGTGTGTCTGGGTCCCAGAGGAGCCCCATGGGGTCCAGGCAGGCAGGCAGGCTCTGCCCCCCTCAGCCAGAGCAGAGTTTCACTACATGCCCTATTCACGAGGATTCCACAGAAGGTTTTTTGCTAAAGGAAGGGTGCTGCAGCTAAAAAAAGGTGTGTACAGGCATCTCATTTTACAGATGAAAGGGCGGGGGGAAGTGACTTGCCCAAGGTCACACTGAGCGTTGGAAGTCAACCAGTTCTGTCACGAGTACTTTCTACCAGGTCATCTAGGCCTTTAGGGCCTTTTCTTTGGAGAGTCCCTCATGTGGCAACCAGTTAATCAATCAGCCACTGCAAATGGTCCTAATCTAATCCTTAAGAGATTTCTGGAAAAAGGCACTAAATAGAGTAACAGAGGTCACTGGTGGACTGAATAGCTAGCTGGGCCCAGATACTGCCTGTAGCTTGTTTACCACCCAGGCTTGGAATGTGCTCCAGGAAGCAGAAAGCCCTAGCGTCTATATGGCATGACCTCTACCTGGGGGAACAGGGCACTGCCCCTTTGAAAAAAATGTAACACTCCAGTGTCCCCTATCCACAGGGTTCATGAAAGTAAAAACCAAACAATACAAAAGACCATAGTTCCAAGAGGCTGTATTCAGTTCTAGAGAGGCTCTTCCCTGGGACTTATCCTGGGTTTAAACACTTGGACCAACTGTACTAGAGGTGTGGTCTCTCGGAAACCTTGATCCACCTCCTTTCTCTCTCCACCCCTGGACTTGAGGCTCAGGGGGTGCCCCATAAAGGGCACCCTCCGAGGGCAGGCTCACCGTCAGCCCATCGGTCATGAACAGGACCAGGGCGGCTGTGATGTGGATGGCAAAGAAGGAAGAAGGGACCCCTCTGAAGTTCTTCCTCTGGCAGCAGCTGAACAGGTCCTCGTTCCCTGGACGGGACACAGGAAGCGAGGACAGGTCTCAGTTCCCCCTGCTTTCTCGGCACGCCCAGCCCTGGCAGAAAGCAGACCACTTCCTGCCTCCCCCCTTCTCCACCTTCCGACAGCTCATGAGGACAGCCCCCGTTTGTTTCACAGGGTGGTTGGAAGCAGGGCTCAGAGAGGCCAGGCAGCGTGCTCGAGGTCACACAGGCAGGGTGGAGGCGGGAGCTGCTGTCCTCTCCTCCTGGCCCATTTGCTCCATCTCCTGCCCCTCCCCGCACCCTGAGACCAGCAGGGCCAAGGGTTTTTCCCAGCCATTACCACCTGTGATCCACGTCCTCCCTCTGGGCGGGAGGGCTTAGCAGGGGAACCTTGGAATGGGGCCTTGAACCAAGGGTTCCTTAGAGCCCCCACCTGGGTGGAACTTGGGGGACAGCGAGGACACGTCTTCCTTCTCAGGAGGCTGTGTCTCCAGGGTGAGCTCGTCTGCGGACAGCAGCAGGGGCCTCCTCTGAGGGCAGCAGGCCAGCAGGCGCTCTTTGGACAGCAGATACAGCACAGCCAAGGGTACCGGGAGCTGGGGGCGGGCAGAGGGTCAGGAGAGTCCGCTCCCCGCCCGTCTGCCCGTTTCCCAGCCCGGCCTGCTGCACACGCCTCAGCCCAGCTGTGTGGCAAAGGTCTGCACGGTCCTGGGAAACAACAGCTCTTTTCACAGGGCGCCCCCTGAGAGCCAGCCCCAGCTAAGACAGCCAGGTACCTTGACCCCTGCAGGCTTGTAATTAATTGCTACCAGACTTCAACTGCAGTCATTTCCCTGCACAGACAGGTGCTTCTCACACGCAAAGCTTGGACTCACATGGGGTCTCTGCTGGCACAGGACGTGCAAGAGCTAAACTCCTTTCCAACACCCTTGTCCTGAGCAGGGCTGGGAATGGCCCCTCACACTCGTTCACGCTGGCAGAGCATGTTACGCTTTAGAAAGAAGTTTGGCTTTTGTTCCTCACGGTTCTGTAAAACGTGCTGGGGGAAATCATTAAACCTACTTTCCAGGTGGGGCAACTGAGGCTCAGAGTTATCACTTAGTCTAAACCTGCTCCAGTGGGAAGGTCTGAGAGCACCGGCGCAGGCCACACAGCTGACTTGAGGCAGGGTTAGACCAGCGCCCGGGCATCCCAATCCTGACCAGTGCTGTCTCCATGTCGGGGCTGTTCTGGGTGATATCATACCTCTCAAAAGCACAGGGGCTGCCCTCAAGGTAAACAGGCAGGGACTCCTTTAAATTGAGAAATGCATGCTACGGGCAACACACATGCAGAGCCCAGAGTCAGGTTGACTGACATTTGTGTTAAGTCGCTTAGGCTTTATGAACTCCCCAGAGCAATGAGAAATGTCTCCTGCTCCTGGAGTTGCCTCCACTGCCTCCCTCAGGTGCCTTGCCTGTGTCTAACCGCCCTTGCTACCAGGAAGTCCTTCACTGAGTCTAAACTCTGCCCTTCCTGCTGCAACTGCATCCCGGCTCCTTTTGCTTTAGAAGGAGAAGCCCAGGGAGCTGTGGAAGTGTCCCAGGGGCCAATGGGCCCCTCGGAGCTCACAGGCAAGGCTGGCGCTGCCTGGCACCACCCTGGGCAAGCCTCTACCTCACCTGGAGACAGGCTGGCTCACACAGGCATTTCCCCAAGTCACCTAAACTCCTCCCCTGTGCTGGCACCTCCCTGGGGGCACCTTGGGAGCCTCCTTCCACTTATTAATGTCAGTCAGGCACACCCCAGCAACATTAGAGCCATAAACCCTGCCTGAATGGAGGAGACGGCCCCTGCCCCCAGAGCCCTGGGTCTGAGGCAGGAGGTGAGGCCCTCTCTCCGATCTGATGGGGGAAACAGGAAACCCACACGCAGAGGCCTGGGCAGCAGAATGCCTGGGTGAAAGCCAAGGGGAAACAGCTGTAAAAGAGGTGTGCTCACTCAGGTTGGGCTTCCCAGAGAGGTGGGTGGTGGGAAGGACCTCACCAGGGTTGGCTGATGTTGCCAGCGGGAACACAGTGGACCTTTATTAGGAGCCCGTGCAAGAAGCAGAGGCTCCACCTTAAAAGTCAGAGGATGCCAGGTGGGCTGGCCTGTGTGTTTGCATTTGCCCACATGCATGCTTAGCCCATTCTCTTCTGGGGTGGACTGTTTATCTTCAGACACAAACCAATGGAAAAAGTCCGGAAATCCTGCAGCAAACAAAGTGCCTCCAATCTGTGCCTCATGGAGCAAGAGAAAACAGACCTCATGCTTAAGCTGGCGGGACGTTCCGGCTTCCTGGTCCCAGAGTCTCAGCCTTGACATTGTACTGACAGGGCGCTTTGCCTTCCGAGGTCCCCCTTGGAGGGCAAGGCCCAAAGCAGCATTGTTCCCCAAACAATGATGGGCATGGGAAGAAAAGGGAAGGAGCAGGGGAAGAGGGGTGCACTTTTGAGGCCGTCCCGTGAGGACTGTGGTACAGGGAATGTTACAGAAGAGAAGGGAAATGAGCAGTTGATCACAGGGCAGCTGGGGGGGGCTTGTGCCGGAAGTCAGGGTTCCAGCCTGGTCAAGTCTCTTACTGGCCCCTTTATCAGGCCCTGGAGCCAGTGACGATCTGACTGTTTAGTGGGACTGGGTGTCCTCAGAGGTCTCTTTCAATGCTACCAGTATGGCATCGCTCTGAGGCCTAGCCTGCCTGCCTTGGGAGGGGTAACTAGACTAACAGACTCCAAGTCAGGGTGATAAACTATGCGGCACCTCCATCCCATGGCCAGGTGGATGGCCACCTGGACTACCCCCACCCCAGCGCCTGCTCCTGGTGCTCCCAGCCATCATCCCTAAGCTGGCCAGGAGCTGGTGGGGGTTCCCTAACCTCTCTCTCTGGCCCCAGCCTGGGCTAACCTAGGCTGCAGGGCCCCGGGGGGGTTTCCAGCCGGATACGGGCCAGTCCTGACTTGGCAGAGGAGCATGAGAGCTGGGGTGCAGAGGGCCCTGGGATCCACCCCGGTCTGTTCCCGTTCTGTCCCCACCAGGGCAGCCACATCACGCGGGGTCCCTTGGAGGTCATCTTGTCCATCTTCCAGCCTCCATGGGGGCCCACCTCACAGCAGCAACAGGAGATGCCCACTAGTGACAGGACCACGGAGGGGAGCCTGGCGTGTCCTGCAGGGCTCTGTCCCAGGGTCCAATTCACCTGCCCTTGGAGGAGAACAGCTGGTTTCCTTAGGGAGCTCCAAGGACTTGGAAGTCCACCCTGATCTCATGGTGCTAAACCTGCTCACTGTTTAACCTCCTTGGAGAATCGCAATCCCAGGATGTCACAACTGAAGGGCCTTAGAGGTGACCTCCTATGACTCCCTGTGGTCAGGATGAATCCCTGCGGGTCGGCTCTCCCATCTTCTTGCCTTCCTGAAGGCACATCTCAGCCCCAGTCCATTTCTCAGAAACGGAAGAATCTGTACTGGGAGCTGGTATGGACTGGTAGGAGACTGTCCACTAGCCCTCACCCAACCCTGCCCAGGGGCACTCACGTTGATCAGAGCCATAATCCAGAAGGCATAGGACACACGGGTCCCTGCCCCGTCCTGCGAGGGCAACCCAGGCAGCGTCCGGTTGGACCAAGGCTGGGCCTCAGGGTGCTGACGGCTCAGGACCCTGGAGGCATGGAACAGGTGGCTGCCAGAGGTGGCATTGGCTGTGCTATTGGCAGGCAAGCAGCTGGCCTCAGACAGGAAAGGGTCGGCGATGAGAGGGCTCAGCAGTGCCCCAAAGCCCACAAAGAAATGGAGAACCTGGAGGGGGAGAGAATTGGGGGGGTGAAGGCATGGCTCAGGCTTTGCACGACCCCCATTGTGGGAGCAGCAGAGGATGGGAGGCAGGAGGGGTGAGGAGTGGAGCTCCTGTCCCCACCTTCCTGCCTGAGATAACTTGGTGACAGTGGCCAACCCCTCCCTCACTCCCTCTTTCCCAAAGCTTAACCCTCAGCCAGGGGTTATCCCCATGCCAGAATCCACCAGGTAACACCCCAAAGGGAAGAGGGTTGACAAAGGGCAGGGCTGGACTAGAGTCCTGGGCAACAGGGAGGAGAAGGACGGAAGAAGAAACACAGGAGGAGACGAGAGAACAGCAAGTCCTTCCATCACGCCCCTTCCCAATTTACAAAGAGCCTTTTCTCGTCAGCACTTAGATTCCTGTGACCCTTTGTGCACAGTGGTCATCACCCCGTTTCAGAGATGAAACACCCAAGTCCAGAGATGACAGCCAGTGTGGCCCAGCTGGCAGTGGTCACTCTGAACTTGACCCTGCTGCTCCTTCCGGGTCACCGTCCTGGCCGTGAGGAAGGGACACCCGGCCCGGGCAGAGGGCTGAGGGCGCTCCTCCGAGCCCCGCCCCGCCCTGCCCCAGGCCTGCTGGGGGCTCACCTGGAGGAAGACGGCGGAGTCCTTCTGGTAGATCCTCACCAGCTGCATGTTGGCTACGGTGTCGATGCAGCCCATGGCCAGGCCGGCCAGCGCCATGACAGAGGCCAGCACCTTCACGTCCCGGCAGAAGGGGATGGTGGCAAACACCAGGGAGATGGCCAGGGAGGAGGCGAAGAGGGCCCACAGCGACTGGGCCAGGCTGCCGGGTGGGAGGCGAGGTCAGTGGGGGGGGGGGGGGCCTGCAGACCCCCCCAGCCCCATCCTCCACTCGCTGGGTGGACCCCCAGGGAAGCCGAGACATTCCTGTCATCCTCTGGTCGGAGGGCGAAGGGAGCTGTGGCGCTCTGTCGCTTATTATTATAGGTTGTGGGCAAGATGTCTGAGTCTCCCCCGGTGACAATCCCTGCCGCACAGGTGGTCATGAGAACTATGTAAGGGACGTTTCACAAAGCATAATTGCTATTATTGGACTTATAAAAGTGATTTTGTATCCTTTATTTTGAACTGTTTGCTGATAAACAATTATATGCGCAGATACCTCCATCCCTCCCAGGGAAGGGGTGGGGTGAATCGGTCCTGAGAATCTCTGGGGAGCCGTGCCACGTGTGTGAGGCTGGAGGTGGGCCCGGGAGCACGGCCAGGCCCCCCCCCACACACAGAGTTGTGGGCCATGCTGGGCCCTCTGCAGGCCCCAGGCCCGAGCCACCCAAACCAAGCCCTCAGCCCAGATATCCGAGTAATCTGGTGACCCTTCTACATGCCCGCAAGTGTCCAGAAGGGAGGCCCTCAGCCATTCCCACCAAGCGGTGTCTGGGTTGAGAGCTTTCCCCAAAGGAGCCCAGAGCAGCAGCTGAGTGAGTGAACACATGCCTGGAAGCCTACGGCTTTGTCGAGGTCTTTGGGGTGCACCCTGCCCAGCAACCAGACTCTTGAGAAAGGAAGGAAGCCTCATGTTTTCTGGGGCCAGTCTGAAAGGCTAAGGTGGGGGCAGGGGGGGAGGAGAGTGGGCAGAAGAAGGTTCTGGAAGGGGGGTCTTGTGGAGGAAGCACCTCAGATTATGAGAAGTTGGAGAGCCCTAGGCACCTCCATCTGGCTGTCCAGACTTGGAAGTTTGAGGGGGTTGGTGAGAGTCAGTATTTACATGTCAAGACCTGCATTTCCAGCTCACTGACAACAAGTGAGTCAAGAGACCCTTCAGGCTGTCCTCTCCTAGGAGTTCTTGCCTCTGACCCTGTTGGCGCTCAGCTTTTCATCTTGTTTCATCTTTGATTAAATCCGTTATCAGAAGGGCTCTGCTGATAGCAGTGGATCGCTATTTCCTCGTTTTCTTGTTTGTAGGCTGGTCTACCCATGGTGACCCCTGCCAACTCCCAGCTCTGAGCTGTGTGTGAGAAGGCAAGGGAGACTGACCACCAGAGGCAAGCAAGAGGGGGCCGTGCTGTGGGGAGGCCTGCTCGGGGCCCCAGCCCCCGTCCTGCTCCCCCCACACCGCGGGCCGCAGGCACTGACAGCCGCCTGCTCCCCGCGCTTCACGTGCTTCTGCTTCCTGCTCCCTGGCGGGCCATCTCCTGGTACTGGCACAGAGGTGGTGCCCACACCTCGCAGGCCGACAGGCCTCTCAGCTCTCTTTCCACTTCCTTTCCCTGCAGAAGATTGACTGGGCAGCCTCTGGGGTAGCCTGACTTCAGGGGTGACAGGGGGTCCCCGTCTCCTACTCAAGGTCCCCGCCTGAGCTACTCCATGGACCCGACATTCCTCACCCACCGCTTTCTGCTAAAGCACAGATGCCCCAAGTACAGAAATGCTCTCCTGAAAGCGTGATACTATCATTCCTGTCTTGAAAAACCTGGATGAGCATGGTTAACCAGTCCTCTAGTACAGTCCAGAGGGAGCCCGACCTGGGATCGGCGAACTGAGAGGGCAGGAGTGTGGGAAGGTGTGGGGAAAGAAGGTAGAGCTAACATCACGGCGGACACGAGAACAGCGGACACCTGTTCACGGCGTCCAAGACATTTGGCGCACATGACAAAGCTGTGAGCTAGACCTTGCAACTGAGCCTTGTGTGATTCACAAGGAAACGCAGGTCAGAGAGGGATCAGAGACAGTTAGGAGAAGGGCTAAGAAAGCAGTGGACGGATCCCGGACCACCGCCCAGGGATGCTGACTTGCTCCCTACGCCGTGCCGCTTTCCTTGGAGGAGTGTGTGCACACACGTGTGTGCGTAGAAAGGATGATGCTGGGCCACAGACCCTGCTGGGCTGAGAGGGGAGCAGCCAGCAGGGAGCACGAGGCCAGGTTCTGCCGGGCCTTGGACTTACAAAGCGGCGGCAAACGGCTATAGTCGCTAGGACTGAGTGGACCCTCTGCTGGTGTTATGGGAGCTCCAACTGCTTCTGGATAATGCTGGCTCCATCACAAGCTTCCTAAGGAAACTGCTGCCTTCTGCTCTTTGCAGGACCCACACCTGGACTGTGCCTAGACCTCCATCCCCTGAGGCGTCTGGTCTGGGGTTACTAAATAATGCCAGTGAGATGGGAATGCTTGAGGAAGGGCTGTCTTTTCACCCCACGCACCACGGCCTGGACAAAGGGACCAGAGACAGTCAGGAGGCTGATGGTATGGGGGTGACAGAGAGAAGGAGACAGGAGTGACGAGATAAAGAGTCTAGTGGGCCAGGTGGCCAGAAGGTGCGGAGTGAAACAGGCAGCTCGGGAGACGGGGCTGGGGCTCAGAAGGGCTGGGGGCCAGTGGGCAGCCTTGCCAGGCCTCTCCTCGCTCCAGTGGGTACCCTCTCACTTTCCTGTTCTAGAGAGGGACACTCAGTATCCAGAGGGGGCCCTTTTGTTCCCAGGCCCAGGGACAGGCAGGAGGGAGGGATGGAAAGAGAACTCGAGGAAAGGAAAGGCTGGAGGCAGGCTGGCCTGGGAAGTCCCTTCTGCCAACCCCGGGCCAAGCCGGGCCAGCTCCTGCCAACCCCGGGCCGTGGTTTGGGCTTATAGCCTGCCAGCTGGGTTCCTGGGGTACCCTGGGGTGGGGTGGGGGCAGCCAGGGGGTGGAAGCCAGTTCCCAGGAAATGGGGACAGCTGCACCGCAGCGAACGTCGGGTTTGCATCCCAGGCGGCCCACCCTCCCCAGCTGTTTTGGTGGGGCTGTGCCAGGTCATTCCAAAAATCAGCCTGAACAAATTTCTTTAGGATAGTAATGTTGTTGCCAAGAAAAAAGGCATCCTAGAGACATCCTAGAGCTAGACTGAAATACACTAATTGGCCTGGTCACAATGATTTGGTCAACGGCCCCTTCCAAGACTGTGGGTAATTGAAAATTACATAATAATAATGTGGCTCAGACAGTAAAGAATCTGCCTGCAATGCATGATACCCAGGTTTGATCCCTGGAGAAGGGAATGGCAACCCACTCCAGGATTCTTGCCTGAAGAATTCCATGGACAGCGGAGCTTGGCGGGCTACAGTCCATGGGGTTGCAAAGAGTAAGACACAACTGAGCGACTAACACTTTGCACTTTTTTTCCCAAGGTCACTGCCGCTTTGGCAGCACGGATGTATTTGTAACCAGAATTCGGGTCCTAGGCCCGCCTCTGCCGCAAGGCATTGACGCTGAGCCCTTCCGAGGCTCAGTTTCTCTGCTGTACACCGAGGATGGTGAGCGGTGCCTTGCAAGGCTCCTGTGCGGAGGTAGCGAGACGTCCGCTGGCCCCCATCTGCTTCCTCACTGGCAGCTGTCCCCTCCCACCGCCAGCCATCTGCAGCTCACCTGCAGGTCCTGGACTTTCCCGGGGGGAGAACACACTGGCCCGCTCAGCATTCAGGGTCAGAGACCTGGAGCCAGCTCCTTGCCTGACCCCCGGCCCCGCCCCTGGTTCCTGCTGCCAAGCCCTCTGGGGCGATCCTGCGAGGCTGGCCCGGAAACTGCCAGAGTGGCACCAAGGACCGAAGAGCCCTACCCTCATTTTACACATTGGGAGGCGGCCCAGACGAGATGGGTGGGAGACAGGCCAGCAGGGACCCGGCTTCTGGCCCCCGACCTGGGAGAAGGCCAGGGTGGTGTCACCGCTTGTCCCTCCCTGGCCTGGGTTCTGAAGTCAGTGCAGGCCGGTGGGAAGGGGGGGGCCCTGGTCCCCCAAGACAGTCGGGGAGCCCTTCCTCAGGAAGCCAGAGAGATGTCCGAGTTACTTATTAGCGGCCCCACACAGAAGGTGCAGACTGGGGCGGGAGCAGAGTCAGGCCCTCTTGGCGGGCAGTACTGAGCTGCCTCCCACCTTGGCCGCATGACCTTGGCACAGCTCAGCCCGGGGGTCGGCCTTGCCCAGAGGGCACCTGTGGCCCCCCACGCGCCTGCGCTGGCCCTTCTGGTTCTGTGATAAGAGCAGGGGCTGCCTGGCTCCGAAACAGGGGAAGGGCTTGAACAGGCAGATGTCAGCTGGGGTCCCACCCCCAACTGCTCCGGTATGGGGAAGAATGTGCGACTTTCCCCTCACAGTTCTGCCACAAGGGAGTCCTTCTGTCCACCTTGGACAAGCTCCTCCCTGAAGGACCAGGGAAAGGGGCAGAAGGCAGACCCAGGTGGCGTCAGAGGCATCGAGCCCTTCTCCACCCCCACAGGGGCAAGGGCGGGCTGCAGACTCCACTCCAGTCTGGGTGAAAGGGCAGGGCTGACACCCAGAAGGAGGGGCAGGAGAAGCCTCCAGCGGGGTCACCCCCGCACTCACATCCCAGCCCGTTCGACACCCTCTGCTAAGGCTGAGGGGACCCTGAAGGAGGAACAAGGGAGCCCGACTTGGGAGGGATCTCTAACGAGGCAACTGCCCCGTTAGACCCAGATCAGGGCAGTACCCTCGCGTGACGACGTCCCCTGGCCTGGTGAGTGCTGGGCCCCCCAGAGTGCTCCCTGCATGCTGGTTAAGCTTGTAGTCTGCCTGAAACACTTCTCCCCACATCCTTTGCTTGCACTGCTCTCTCCTGACTTCAGGAGTCAGCTCAGAGAGGCCTTCCCCACGGAGCTAAAGTAACCCCAACTCTGTAACTCCACTTCCTTACCTTATTTCCTTCATGTCACTAAAATAGTCCTCCAGACTGTAAGCACCTTAGGAGCAGGGACCTGCATCATTTTCACTCTGAAAACAGGGGCTGGCTCAAGAGATATTTGTTAAATTAGTGAATTAAAGGCTAGGATGGGTTTTGAGATTTTTTTAATTAAAAAAAAATTGAGATATAATTTACATGCCATAAACTATCTATTCAAAGCACACAATTAAGTGTTTTTTCAAAAATTTATTCAGAGTTATGAATTCATCACCATGAGCTACGAGCATTTATATCACCCCTAAAAGAAACCCTTCACCCATTAGCAGTCACTCCCCATTCCTCTCTGCACGAACCCTTAGCCCTAAGAAGCTCCTCATCTACTTTCTGTCTCTAGAGATTTTCCCAACTCTGGACTTTCACAAAAATGGCACCATAGAGTGTGTGATCTTCTGTGACGGGCCTCTTTCACTTAGCATAACATTGTCAAAGATCACCCATTTATAGGATGAGTCAGGACTTCATGCCTTTTTATGACTGAAACACATTCCATTGTGTGGACAGACCACATTTTGTTTGCCCATCCATCTGCGGATAAACATTTGGCTCTTATGAATAGCTGCCATCATGCTATATAACGCTGCTATGAACTTTGATGTACAAGTTTTTGTGTGGACATGTTTTCAGTTCTTTGAAGAATATACCTAGGAGTGAAACTGTTGGGCCAGATGTTATCTCCTGTGGAGACAGATTTTTAAATCCCAGGTCTGTGGCATGCTGGAAGGTGGACAAGCTGCTGGCGGGAGAGGAGGAGGCTTTCTAGTTGGGAGACCAACCCAGGCCTGGCTCAGATAAGGGAACTGGCTTTCATACTGTGTTCCCAGGACCACAGGGAGCCAGGATCCTGGGCAAGTAGGTCAGAGAGTGGCCTGGGGAAATGTCCATGGAGACCAGGTTTCATGCAGTGGGCAGGGGAGAGTCAGAGGTGGGTCTTGGGAAGGAGGGACTTGTAAGAAATTCAGAAAAAAAAAAAAGAAAGGTAGAGAAAAAGATAGTTAATAGAGCAAAGAGAAGACGAACTCAAGCCTTCAGTTAAGAGCACACATGCAGAGGGGACGCCCAGGTAAGGTGGGAAAGGTTGGGAAAGCTCTGAAAGTCATTTATCTGCCCCAATAGCTTTGAGATAAAAGGGTCTCCCAAACTGCCCAGGGTAGTAAGACAGGTCCCCGTGAAACCAGGAACAAAACCCCAACCTTTTGTCTAAATACCCACCCCTTCTTCCTGTCTGACAAGGCACATATCTACACACCCTGCCAACTAGGTGTCTTTGGGTTTTTTCTGGAAAGTTTCCTGCTCTTGATAAGATTTTTCTAAGGAAGGTCAAGTCCAGCTTCTTCTAGCCCTAAATACACCCTTCTCCCTCTCCGCCTACATGTAGTGCCTCCTTGGAGCTCTCCAACTATGTCAGAAGAGAGAGAGAGAGCTGGTCCCCCTTGAGCAGAGGGCCCCTGCCCTCCTCTGCGCCCACACTGACGTTGAGGCTCTCCGCACCCAGTCCCTCCAGAGTCCCTGTGGAGGCAACCAGAAGCCCCTCGGTGCAGGCCAAGGACTGGGCAGGACCGAAGCAGGAGCCCCAAAGACAGGGCGCTGCTGTGACTCTCCCCTCCCTGCTGTGTGCCATCCCACACTTTCCCCGCTCCCTCGCAACAGCTGGCCCTCCCGGCCCAGTTTGTTAAACCGACCCCCACTGCAGAGCTAGCGCACACTTGCAGTAATCACTTAAGCTGAAAAGCACTAGCGGCTTATTAGCATTTTAGCTCACGGTGAGGCCCCGAGGAGCCCGGTCTGAGAGGCCGATTTCAGGCTGGCAGAGGTTCTGTTTGCTCTGAGGGAGGGAGGATTGAGATGAGCTGTAGGTAGGTGACAGCTCCTGTCTGCGCACAGGCCACTCCTGGGACCTCCCTCTACTTCCACTGAAGTCTACCTTGCTCTTAACCAAGGGACAGGATCAGGACATGTTGTCTTGCAGTGGGAGGACTGAGGTTCACAATCTAAACCTGAATCACAGATGGGACATACTCCCCCTGCCCCGCCTGACCCCCACCCATCACGTCCCAGCAAGAAGCCCCAGAAGCCCACAGTTTCTCCCCAGGAGTGTCTGCTTAAGAACACTCAGCCCATGAGCATGGACTGTATGCCTCTGCCTGGAGAGTATACGGTATAACTCGTACCCTGCAGAGCTGAAGCTGACTACTATGAGTCAGCTCGCTTTTTTATGAAAAAGCAAGAGGCATTTCCAAACTATCTGGTTCTAGACACAAATGTGTGGGTTCATATCCTGGCCAGCTTAATAGCTGTGTGACCTGGGGCAAGTTTCTTAACCTCCCTGTGATTCAGCCTCCTGCACAAAATGGAGATAGTAGCACGACCCTATCTACAGGATTGTCATGAAGGTTAAATGAGTTGATACAAGAACATTACCAAGAAAGAAGCACTGAGTACAGTGCTTGTGTGCTCAGCGTGTCTGGCTCTTTGAGACCCTGTCAGGCTCCTCTGCGCAAGGAATATTCCTGGCAAAATACTGGACTGGATTGCCATTTCCTTCTCCACGGGATCTTCCCATCCCAGGTATCGAACCTGTGTCTCCTGCATGCCATCATTGGCAGGTGGATTCTTTACCACTGCACCACAAGTAAGCCCAAGTAAGAACAGTGCTTGGCATGGCCTAAATGCTCAAAAAAGCAAGTTATTATTGCTGTCATGATTATTCTCCTTTTCCATGAGCCAGTTTCCCATGCCAAGACCCTTCCCACTGCCTGTTCAGAGCCCCTCGTTGAGTAAGGAGCCCTGAGGAAGGCACTGAGCAGGTAAGGAAGAGCCGGCCCAGTGGGTGTGTATCTTTGCTGTTCTCACAAATCCTGGCATGCCAACCTGCCATTTAGAATTATCCTCATTCCTCTTCCTATTCTTTGCCCTACACAGGTTTCTAAAAAGTTCCAGGTAAGGGAGCTTTTGTAAGTCAAAATACTTAAAAACAAAGAGAAAAATACCCTGAATGATTTCTAATGAAACCTGTAGGCAGAATCAGAAAGAATCTTGAGCTTTTTCTTAAGATTTTCTGAGTTCTCCACGCATCCACTCTTGTACAAAACCCACAGAAACACTAGTGTCCATAAGGACACTTGCTTCTTCAGAGGAGACTTCTTTGTTTACAAGAGGATTTTGGTCGTGGGGATAATCACTCCCGAATTGATCACGTTTGGTCAGCCAGGTGGCTTAAAGTGGCTCTCCATGTGTGGACACCTGCGCTCCTCTCCATCAACTCTAGGGGACCCAACTCACAGACGCCTCTATCAGTGAGCCGAAGGGCAGCGCCTTTGGCCCAGAAACCCACCCCCACACCCCTGTGGTTTTGTTCCCAGGCTTCTGCTTGTCTGAGGCCATGCAGTCCAGGAAACCACCCAGCCAGAAGCCAGGACTAGGGAGACGGCCAGCAGCCTCTGACTTGCAAGTCATCTAGCCCCTGCTGTGGGTCTCTTCTCCCCGGAGCATCAGGAGAGTGGATCCTACTGCCTTTCCAAAGGGCTCCATGGAGGTGGCCCTGTCCAATTCAAGCCTGGAGGATGAGGCTCTGCAATGGTAGGCAAAGGGGAACCTCTGGGGGCCATGCCAGACAGAGCCCAGAGCCCTGCCCTCGGGTAGACGCCAGGCAGGAGGAACACGGAGGAACAGGAGGCAGAGGCCAGAGATGGTCACCTCACTAAGCGATGGGTGGGTCACCCTGCACCTCCCCTTTGGTGACCTCAGCGCTAAGGTCCTGCCTGTCTCAGAGGCAGAAGGGTGCTGCCTGCAGGGGCCAATGCCGGAAGCCCCGCGCCCCCAGGGGCAGGACCGCACAGGACTCACCAGCCCAGTGGTCACCCGGGAAGGGACACCCTTTGCTGGCTGCTCTGGAGCTGAGGATCTGAGTGGAGCCCGCCCCAGGGCACTCTGTCCAGCTGCAGCCAGCCCTGGCGCTGGGCACAGCCCCTGAGATCCACTCCCTCTCCTGCCACCTCACTTCCAATTCCGCCCCCGGCAGCAGGGGCTACGGACAGACCTCAGTCGGCTCGTGCCAGAGGCGACCCCGCCGCCTCGGCGAGCTCGCTGCCACTCTCCCAAGGGGGAAGGGGGGCGTGGGCTGGGGTGGAATAAGCAGGATGAGGGCTGGGTCTATGAGTAAGGGCAAAAAAATAATCTAAAAGTCACCTTCAGTCCTCGGGGAGAGTTTTGGGGGGAGTCCTGGGGCGGGGGGGGGGCGGGGCGGGTGGTAGGGAGGCAGCCCTCCGGCTAAGGCAGGGCATGGCTGGCTGGCGGGGCGGGGAGGGGTGGTCGCGGCCTTCCAGAGGCAGGGACGACCCCCGGCGCGAGCCCGCGGGGGGCAGAACGAGGGCGACGGGAAGGGCCGGGGACTGGCACTCACGTCCTCTTGAAGACGCCCCCGAGGGCGCTGCCCAGCAGGAGGCAGAGCTGCTGCGAGAAGAAGACCCAGGAGATCTCGGGCAGCGAGCTGCGCGTCTGGCAGCGCAGGTCCAGCAGCGTGGGCCCCAGGAAGGCGATGCACAGGCCGAAGCTGAAGAAGACGCTCCAGTAGGTGAGCGTGGGCTGCAGGTTGCGGCGGAGCAGCCCCGACACCCGGACCTCGCAGCCCATGGCCCCGGCCGGCGGGCTCGCGGCTGCTGGTGCGGGCGCGCGCGGTGCCGGAGTGCCGCTTTGCCCGCCCGCCCGCGGGAGGGCCAGCCGGGCCGGGGAGCCCGGGGCCGGGGAGTGGCGGGGGCGGGCGGGGAGGGGCCTCCCGGCGAGGGGCCCCGCCCTCGGGCCCAGAGAGCGCCCGGGGCGCCGTGGGCACCGCGACCGGGCCCGCTCCCTCCCCACGCGGTGCCAGGCGCGGGTCTCGCCTCCTCCCCGCACTCAGATTTCCACCCTCCGCCGGCTACGGGAGACCCTGCGGGAACCACTTGTCACCCCCACCCCCTCTCCCTCCAGCTCCGTGTCTTTCCAGTCTCCTTATCCGGGCCCCCAGGGTCGGAGGACCCTGGACGCCCATCGGCGAACTGGGCAAACAGAGCCCGAGACGTCCGGCAAGGACACCGGGAGCGTGGTCTTCGGGCGCTTCTCTGAGGCTGCAGCTGCAAACCCTCCCCAGGCACCGTTCTGGCCTGTGCTTTCATGTGAAGGGACCCCGAGCCCTCTGCCCTAAACTAGGGGCTGCACTGATGGACTTCGGGCGTCCGACAGCGCCCGGTCTCCCCCTGGAATAGAAGGCAAAGTCTCCTGCATACGTTTTTTTTCTTGGCAGAGTATTCCTGGCTTTCACCAGAAAGGTAGTCACTCTAAGCTCAGCAGAAGGGCCAGAGACACATCTCCTTGGTGCCCTGTCCAGGTGGGATGGAGGAACACGAAGGTGTTCTTCCAGACGCATCTCTCTCCTTTCCTCCTTATTGAGAAGGGGGCGAGAGGAGGGTGGGAAGAGCAGGGTAGTGACTTGGAGGAATTCTAAAATCGTCCTCGAGGGAAAGAAAAAAAGAGTTCTGAGGAAAATTCCCTTTTTTTTTTTTTTTTTCTTCGCTGGAAGAAGTGCTGGCTGGGGGGTGGAGTGGGAGGGTGTTAAACTCCAGACTGGGAGTCCTTCCAGGAGCCTGCAGCTGACACGGGCTGTTACTCCCCCTAGGTGGCCATGTGGCTGTTGGGTCCTGCGTGGTCCTGCTCATGAGCAAGCCAGGCATCTGTCCTGCGCTGACCTCTGGGGCAGAGCAGAAAGGCCCCTCAGGTCACCTCAACCCAGGCGCTCTGGTAGCGGCAAGAGCCATGACGTCATGACCACTCGCCCCCCCCACGGGGACCAAGGCTGAAACAGGAGGAGATAAGGGGCTGGGTGTCCGTATGATGGTTTGACATGTGGTGGAGGCAACCAGCCTCTCTTGCCCGTGCCGGTCCCCTCTCACTGGGTGCCCTAGCATCTGCCCCGTCTCCCAGGGTGTGGGCACCGGGCTGGGGAGCCCCAGGATGCCTCTGGCTTGGTTGGCCTATAGTTGATGACAGTTACTTGTTCAGTAGTGATTATGTTGGGCCTGCAGAGTAGTTGCAATTAAGCAAAATGTTATCCTCTAGGGAGGGGGAGAAAAACAAATAATAACTGTAAACATTTAACTGAGTCCTCTCTGCCACTCTCAAAGAATTCCAGAAGCTCAGAGTTGGAAGGAGCTATCTCCAGTGGAGTCCCCTGTCCCCACCCCATCACTGCTGACAAATGCTCATCAGTACAGTGCTGGACTGATGCCTCTTAGTGACAGGGACCTCACTTATCATTTCTGGGGGTCTGCTTCCAATGAGAATCACCTCTGGTTGTAGGAAATATTTTATGCGGAACTGAAATGCTTCTCCCTGTGGCTCCCCACTGCCACCCACAGGACACGTCTAATTGCTTTGTGCATACTAGTCCCTCATACACATAATGACCTCACCCCCGCACTTGGCTTCTCCAGCCCAAATGCTTGAAATTCTTTCACAGTTCCCTTAGATGGTACTTCCCAGTTATATCATCCTACTGGTTCAGCTCTTGACAGTGACTCTGGTACAGTGAGGAAGTCCACAGTGTCTGGAATGCTAGAAGCTTTCTATAACTTGATCTGGGGGGTGGTTACACAGTTGTGAACATAGAAATATTATACCCTGCCTTGAATGCAGCACCCGGTCACCTTACAGTCAAATCTTTCTGCCTTCCTTCTTTCCTTCCTTACTTTCTTCCTTCCTTAGGTGTGAGGCCCTTGAGCAGAGACAAACAAGTAAGTAACCAAGTAATAATGTACATTCTGTAACAGGAGTGCTTTGAGAGCCTGCAGGAGAGAAGCAGACATTTCTGCCTGGGAAGGCTTCATGGAACAGGTGATTACTAAACTGGATCTGGAAGGGCAAAGATGTGAAAAGGTTTTGCTCATGTGCTCTTTCTCCTCTTTCTCTGTCACGTCTGTTTTCCAGCACCATCACATTGTCTACCTCCTCCAGGAAGTTTTCTCAGAAAAATATCTGTCTAGCTCCCAAGTCCCAGCAAGCCCCCTCCACTCCTTTTGCCCTACAGTCTTTGTAGTGTCAGCTGTTATATTTGACCAAGTGTTAGCTTCCTGTTCCTGCCACTCTGCCTCTTCCTGTGGCCAATTAAACGGTGAGTTCTTAAGGACACAACTATATTTGCCTCTAACTCCCCACCTTTGCCTTCTTTGGGATTGAAATGAAAACGGATCTTTTCCAGTCCTGTGGCCACTGCTGAGTTTTCCAAATTTGCTGGCATACTGAGTGCAGCACTTTCACAGCATCATCTTCTAGGATTTGGAATAGCTCATCTGGAATTCCACCACCTTCACTAGCTTTGTTTGCAGTGATGCTTCCTAAGGCCCACTTGACTTCACACTCTAAGATGTATAATCGTAAGGGATTTGATTTAGATCATACCTTAATGGCCTAGTGGTTTTCCCTACTTTCTTCAATTTTAGTCTGAATTTGGCAATAAGGAGTTCATGGTCTGAGCCACAGTCAGCTCCTGGTCTTGTTTTTGCTGACTGTATAGAGCTTCTCCATCTTCGACTGCAAAAAAATATAATCAGTCCATTCCGGTGTCGACCATCTGGTGATGTCCATGTGTAGAGTCATGTCTTGTGTTGTTGGAAGAGGGTGTTTGTTATGACCAGTGCATTCTCTTGGCAAAACTCTGTTAGCCTTTGCCCTGCTTCATTCTGTACTCCAAGGCCAAACTTGCCTGTTACTCCAGGTATTTCTTGACTTCCTACTTTTGCATTCCAGTCCTCTATGATGAAGAGGGCATCTTTTATTTGATGTTAGTTCTAGAAGGTCTTGTAGGTCTTCGTAGAACTGTTCAACTTCAGCTTCTTCGGCATTAGTGGTTGGGGCATAGACTTGGATTACTGTGATACTGAATGGTTTGCCTTGGAAACGAACAAAGATCATTCTGTCATTTTTGAGACTGCACCCAAGTGCTACATTTTGGACTCTTTTTGTTGACTACGAGGGCTACTCCATTTCTTCTAAGGGATTCTTGCCCACAGTTGTAGATATAATGGTCATCTGAGTTAAATTCACCCATTCCAGTCCATTTTAGTTCACTGATTTCTAAAATATCGATGTTCACTCTTGCCATTTCCTGTTTGACCATTTCCAAGTTACCTTGATTCATGGACCTAACATTCCAGGTTCCTATGCAATATTGCTCTTCACAGCATCAGACTTTACTTTTACCACCAGACACATCCACAACTGGGCGTTGTTTCCTCTTTGACTCAGCCACTTCATTCCTTCTGGAGCTGTTTCTCTGCTTTTCTCCAGTAGTATATTGGGCATCTACTGACTTGGGGAGTTCATCTTTCAGTGTCATATCTTTCTGCCTTTTCATACTATCCATGGGTTCTTAAGGCAAGAGAGCTAAAGCGGTTTGCCATTCCCTTCTCCAGTGGACCACGTTTTGTCAGAACTCTCCACTATGACCCATCTGTCTTGGGTGGCCCTACACGGCGTGGTTCATAGTTTCATTGAGTTAGGTGAGGTTGTGGTCCATGTGATCAGATTGGTTAGTTTCCTGTGATTGTAGTTTTCATTCTGTCTGCACTGTAATGGATGAGGATAAGAGGCTTGTGGACCCTTTCTGATGGGAGGGACTGGCTGCAGGGAAAACTGGGTCTTGCTCTGGTGGGCAAGGACATGCTCAGTAAATCTTTAATCCAATTTTCTGCTGATGGGTGTGGCTGTGTTCCCTCCCTGTAGTTTGGTCTGAGGCCAAACTTTGGTGGAGGTAATGGCAGTAATGGTGACCTCCTTCCAAAGGACTTATGCCAGCACACTGAGCCTCCCAGGACTGCTGTAGTCAGTGCTCTGACCCCATGGAAGGCCACAGTCAACCCACATCTCCATCAGAGACTCCTGGACACTCACAGGTAAGTCTGGCTCAGTCTCTTGTGGTGTCACTGATCCCCAGAGATCAAATTTCCAACATCCATTGGACCATAGAAAAGCAAGAGAATTCCAGAAAAACATCTACTTCTGCTTCGTTGATTACACTAAAGTCTCTGACTATGTGAATCACAATAAACTGTGGAAAATTCTTAAAAAGATAGGAATACCAAACCACCTGCCTCCTGCAAAACCTGTATGTCAGTCAAGAAGCAACAGTTGGAACCAGACATGGAACAACGGACTGGTTCAAAATTGGGAAAGGAGGACATCAAGGTTACCCTGCTTCAGTTCAGTTCAATTCAGTCACTCAGTCATGTCTGATTCTGTGACCCCATGGACTGCAGCATGCCAGGCTTCCCAGTACATCACCAACTTCCGAAGCTTACTCAAACCATCTCATCCTCTGTCATCCCCTTCTCCTCCCACCTTCAATCTTTCCCAGCATCAGGATCTTTTCAAATGAGTCTGTTCTTCGAATCAGGTTACCAAAGTGTTGGAATTTCAACTTCAGCATCAGTCCTTCAAAAAAATATTCAGGAATGATTTCCTTTAGGATTGACTGATTGGATCTCCTTGCAGTCCATGGGATTCTCAAGAGTCTTCTCTAACACCACAGTTCAAAAGCATCAATTCTTTGGCGCTCAGCTTTCTTTATGGTTCAACTCTCACATCCATACATGACTAGTGAAAAA